CTCGTGACCTGGGTTAATTTATATTTGAAAAAAATAATCACATTTTTCTCTCTTGAGTTGCAATTGGTGGAGAAGAGTGGGAATGTAACACTTGTCGTATTTTTATTTGACAACATTATTTTAAATATATGATAAAAGATAATTTAAATTATTGGTGTTAATTTATATTAAAAAAAAAATACTAAAATACTACAAATAGAAACCACATTTTATAGGTTTTTTAATACAATTGAAATTTTTCTCTTTTCTCTCTTTTTCTAATCTTACCTTATTAATTTATCATCTCTTTCATCTTTCCTAATTTTCAACAAATACCATATGAATTTAAATTGTGAATATTACCTCAATTTTTAAAATTTGTCGAACTCTGAAAATTTTCTAAATTTTGAAAATTATTAACATGAGCAATTTTCTCTGAATATCACTTAATTTTCTACTTCTGGAGATGCCCAAAACAAAGCATCTCGATATTTATTTCATAATGTGCAACAAAACAAAAATCCTTACAAAGGAATGAAAAATGTTTGTTGGAGTGTGGCGAAAGATCTTGCTCTAATGTCAGCTTGGTGTTTCCTTGGCGAAAACAAAAGGTCTGGCAAGAATCAAATGGTTTCTTCGTTATGACATGCATAGAAAAAATGTTTGAACAAGCTCGAATCGAAAAATCCAGAAGAAATTGGTGAAAGAAACTTGGATTCAATGAAAGGTCGTTATAAACGTATTAATGAAATGTAAACAAGTGGAGAGGTGCATACATGAAAGAATACAGAAATAAAAAGAGTGGAATGAGAAGATGTTGAGAAAGAAGCTCATATAATTTATGAAGCTGATGGCAACAACACCAAGTTTATGGATTTGAATGTATTTGAAGAAGTTACGCGATAGCATCCCAAACGGAAATTAAAAATAGATCGTGGTTCAACTCGGGTCGTGACATCCTTTCTCTTGGCAGCGCACGCCGGTTTAGCTGCTACAGCGAGCCCAGTGTCGTCTCGTCCGACAACGTCCAGTTCCAGCGCACCACCAGCGGCTGCGGGCCCGTCAGCTGGCACCAGATCAGGCGAAGGGCTGAGTGTTTTTCGTGCGGTGAGTTGGGCCATTGGCAGGACTCGTGCCCTCAGCCAAACGACTCTCATGCGCTGTTCACCGACGACGGCGACGAGCATGATGGCGGCCATGATTACGACGACCTGTCGGTTTTTTATGAAGAGCCTCCGGTGATGGAAGAACACCTTTACGGTGTTCTGGGCCCCGCCCTCATCATTCGTCGTTGGTGTTTGGTGCACTGTGTCTCTTCCGAGGAGTCAGTTCAGCGGCATCATATATTCGAGTCTACATGCATGGTTGGTGGCCAGGTGTGTTGTTTTACTATTGATTTTGACTCGTGCAAGAATGTGATTGCCCATGTGGCCGTTGAGAAGCTTGTCTATCGAGCGAGCTGCATCCTCAACATTACATGCTCACTTGTATCCAACGGGGCAATGCTATCACCGTCGACCGCAGTGTTTTGGTGTCATTTCCCATCGGGACCATGTACAGAGACATGACTTGGTGTTACATCGTGCCTATGGATGCATGTCATTGGGTCGTCCGTGGAAGTTTGATCACTCCTCTATGCATGACGACAGTCTTAGCACATACAGATTCGTGTTCGATGGTGTTAAGATTGTTCTGCATATGTCTCTATCTCGTTCTTTGCCCGCACCGGCGCCCTCTCTGATATTGTTCTTTTCGCGCCACATTTTTTGACGAGATGCGCGAGAATCTTTTTGTTCTGTTACTTTTGGGCTCCAACTCTGCGACTGAGCGCTCGCCCCCGGTGGACATCCGATATCGCTTGAGGAGTTCGCAGATTTATTTTCTGACTGATCTTTCATTGGGTTTGCCTCCTCTATGCGACATTCAACACCAGATTGACTTGGTGTCAGATGTTTCTCTTCCGAACACACCGCACTGTTGGATGAGCCTGGCGGTGCACGAGGAGTTACTACGGCAGGTGGAGGAGCTTTTATAGCACGACATGGTGCGTCGTAGCTTTAGCCTATGCGCTGTTCCTGCTTTACTTCTCTGAAGAAAGATGACTCTTAGCGGATGTGTGTGGATAGTCGGGCTATCAACAAGATCACGGTCCAGTATCGATTTCCTTTTCCTCGATTGAAGGAGTTGTTGGTTCAGCTACATGGCGCTTCCATCTTCACAAAATTGGATCTTCGCAGCGGCTATCATCAGATTCGCATCAGGCTTGGAGATGAGTGGAAGATGGCCTTGAAGATACGTGAAGGTCTGTTCGAATGGATGATGATGCCATTTGGCTTATCAAATGCGCCCAGTACTTTTATGTGGGTGATGAACCAAGTGCTTCGTGATCTCATTAGTAAGTGTTTCGTCGTTTATTTCAATGGCATCCTTATCTATAACCGCTCGATGGAGGAGCACTTGCTGCATGTTTGTTGTAGCACAAATTATTATTTTTACCGAGTACCGAATCGAAGGATTCGTTCCCCGGGTCGATCTCACAGGGAAGGCAATACGGAATTTAGCTTCGGTATTGATTTCACACAAAAAGAAAACAAAATCCTAAACGCTCTAATCAAATAGGGTATTTGAATAATTATTAACTAAGAAAGAAAAAGTAATAATCTACCTAAGAATAAAAGAATGAAACAAAGATGGGAAAGCTAGGAATCGGGGATAATTAGTTCAAGTTCTAGCAAAATCGGGCAATTAATCGCTCGGTTCGAGATTGACACTCTCGCTTAGACATCTAACGGTTCGCTCCCAATAACTCTTCATAACAAGGGATTGAACGTAGACGAACAAACTTGAGCATACGACACAAGCCAATTATCCCAATACCAATAACTTTTCGTAACAAGGGACGGATCATCGACAAGTACGTATTTCAATCCAAAACCTATAGACTATTCAGTTACGAAATCATCTATCTCATGCGAGCCTAAGTCTACGACTTCTCCCCTTTTATTTCTGACAGTCGCCAATTCAATTAGAAGGTGTTTAATCAACTAATTATTGGAATCAACAAAACCAAACTCGACAACTCAATATCCAATTGTTACAATTGCAAGATCGAAGTGTCACCTTTCGGCTACACCAAACTATCAAACACAATTTCATCTATTCCTAATCAATTCAACTCACATAAGCATGAACAAATCAAGCTCGACAAATGCACGTTAAACAAGAACAAACTTCCCTATCCCTAGCAATCAGATTTAGCTACGAATATCAAATCCAACAATCATAATTATTCCTCTCAAATAACCATTATCCATGAATAAAATAAGAGAAAGGAATACTTTCAATCAATTCAAGTTCCAAAGTTGAATTCGACTTAATCGTAAAGAAAAAGGAGAAGAAGAATGAAAGAAAACGATGAAAGAAAGGTAAAAAAATGAAGAAGAATGAGAAGAGAAGGAGAAAGAGGGAGTTCGTGAGTTTTCTCAGGACCTAAGGTTTTCACCCGGTCGAGAGACGTTCCTGAATGGAAGCCCGTACATATATTTACAGAAGAGCGCATCACGGCGTGGGGAATGGCGCATCGCGGCGCGGAGGACCCGTCTGGCGCGGCGCGGCAGGGAGGACACGGCGCGGCAAGGCATCTCACCACGGCACGGGGCAGCTCAGCGGTGCGGCAGGGGACTTCATCGCGGCGCGGGACTTCAGCAGTGGCGCGGCAGGGAAAGGGCTTCGCGGCGCGGGGTCTTCACGGCAAGGCCTGGCGAGCTGCTGGCATATGTGCACGTCTCCACTTCTCGGGCTCGTATACACTCGTATGGACTCGAAATCTGGTTTGATTTTCTCCTGTGTGATGCACACGAACTCCTCTATCTGATTA